TTGTTACTGGATCTGAAATTCTGGAGGGCAAACAAGCGTGCTGCAGCTGGTGGTAAAGTTATTGAAGGCCTTCAGGGCTTCAGATATACTCTCTAGCGTTCACACTTTGGGTAATTTTTTAACGCCAAAAAAAGCGTGTCATGCACTGAAATCCCTGAGCTTTCTGTGACCACATTCAAATCGGTAAATTTATGTCATAATCGAAGCTGCCCATCAGTTTCAGAAAGATCTGTGCACACAGTACCATCCTTTGCCCTTTGCACAAATACAAAACCAACCAGAGATGGGAGCCGATGAGGTACAGAAATATCTGGGCTTGGCTGGTGGGGGTTTGTGTCGCTGACGCTATCTTTTATGGTGGACACTGTTCCTACGAATGTTGCAGCCTGAAATTCGCAGTACATCGAAATGGTTGCCTGGAATCTTTAGAGACGACTGAGCAGGCTAAGTTTTAACGCTCCTCCTTGTGACAATGACACTCAGAGAAGTCACTAGGCTACTAGATTGCTGAGATCTATTAAATTAATGGACTTCGTTTGTTTGCTAGTGACACCATCTTTGCGGTATGCTGGCTCATCACTGTATCGCGCTTATTGTGGCGGCAACTATGTCTAGCTTTGCAACAGGCAACGCCTCGCAAGATACGGATGGAAGCGATTTGGCCCAGCAAATGGTACCGGACTACTTTAACCCTGAAAATGCTAGGCTTGCACAGAAGCTCTTAGAAGAAAGGAACGACAGTGTGGACTGCCTTGCATCGCCCATAAATATGGTCACCATCAAAGGCTACTCGTCGTTGGTTAATTTCACTGCAGTCGAAAAGCTCATCAGCCGATGTCCTGAGCAAATAGCCGACCTGGAATGGGACCTGGACAAGCCTCTGACCCGCAAGCTGTTGGATGCCATCGAGAAGGCTCAGCCCGACCTTAGACTCCACTACACTCTGGCGTTGTCTTACTGGGATTGGTACAATCATGAAGTGCCACCGATCCTGGATGGAACGAAATGGCAGCATACACAGCGTGTCAAGGCCAGGAAGCGTATCCTTGGGTCTAAGAATTTGTATTCAGTCAAAGGGGAGATCTCTTATGGCTCGAAATCAAACTACGAAGATCTCTCATTTGTACATGAGGTTTTGAGAACATGTCCCAACGTTCGAAAGTTCGACATCAAGATCATGTGGGGTGGAGGATGTGTGGTATTGCATAATCCTTGGGCGTTCAACTTCTCGAAAGATCGAGGAAAATTTCCTCCTCTTGAGGTGCTGAAGCTTAATGGGTACGATTTGAGCAGCGATGTCAAGGGAGAGAAGGAATGGGTAAAGGCTCCGGTGCATGAACGCGATTTTGCGTGGGGTCCTCTGGCACTATTGCCTGAATTCGCCATCAGTTATCTCTACGATACAGCACAGCACATTGTGTTATCGGACAGACTACCCTTCTTTGATACAGTAGCTTACCAAAGGGCGACGGATGCGGCCAGTGGAGAGCAACACAGACTCCAACAGCTCCATGAGCCGAGCAATCTCAATGCATGGATCGAGCGTATGGACTTTAGCAATTTGAAAACGCTTGAGCTTAACAAAATAACTGCAAAGGTGTTGGAACGCCTGGCCCCAGTATTGAAAAGCGTGGAACACCTGTCACTGAGTGGACGTGGCAGTGTGACTGGGCAAGCGTTGCCGGAATTCTTGCGGAGGATTTCACGCCCGCTGGTCTCGATAATGTTCGATTTGGATATTTGCGAGTACGACGACCTTGTCACAGCCCTGAATGAGACATCTTCAGGATCATTGAAATCGTTCAGGACTGCTGGCTACCCTAATATACCAGCTTTGTCACGTCTCGCAATGGAGTGTCCAAAGATAGAAAACATGAATTTATCCGTTCGACGAATAGACTTGAAGAACTTTCGAGAGCAGTCATACGAGCAAGACAATCACGGAAACGTCCAGGACGACGAAGCCAATGAGAAGTACCAACCAGACATTCATCTTGACTTCGATGCCATATATGCCAGCGCCATGGGTCCTGCACTACAACATCTTGCCCTCGAAGCTCTCTCTCCTGACACAGTGATCAATAAAATTAAGCGTACGCATTCGTGGAGTCCAGAGCAGTCACGCTTAATGCACGATCCAGATCTCAGCCGTACATCAGTACCACAACTCTTCAACGAAATCAACGATCGCCGAGCACAAGCCGGGATGAAAGCGCTAAACCATCTCAAAATCACAGTTGGTCCTTGGGACCATAAAGGCGGGTGGGGCATGGCCGGTCCGCCTTCTATACTTATGGGCAAGTGGTATTGTGAAATCCAGCATGATGGATTGACGAGGTGTTATGGTGGCAACAAGGGATCAGGGGATTATGACTGGCACACAACCAGAGAAGTGCAAGATCCCTATTCAGACGATTGGAAGAGCTTGAAGCCGGTATTCTACAGTGAGATTGAGAATGGGTACTATACAGACGGTATCTGGGACGAAGTTACAGGTGAGATTTATGGTGGTTCAGGGGAACTTTGAGCGGCTGTGAGTGCGAAGCAACGAACCTGAAGGCAGGCAAAGCCGGTGACGCTTGCCGTCAGTTTCGAAAATGCTCCTTGATTTCCGACCTTGTTGAGATGAAGCCAATCACACTGCTGTCGTCGTCGTCGTTGTTGTTGTAGTGAACATCTTAGGCTTGGGGCCGTACTCCTTCACCAGCTCCTCCCTACTATGAGTATCGACAGTGCTATAGAAGTGGCGGCAAAACTAGTAAAGATTGCTGATTGGAGTCCAAGCGCTGTTTCGAATTGGGAAAGGTGTTCGTTCATCTCTGGTAACGTGTCGTTATGGATGCTTACTAAGGAATTGCTAAAGTTGGCCCCTGAGCGTCTCTTGTGGAACAAAGTCAGCAAGAATGACATTGATTGTTGGCATGATACCCAGTCCTGCGAATTATCAATACCTTCATGCAGATGTTGAAAATCGAGAAAGAGACTCAGCCCGATAGCAACAACGCAAGCTGCTCAAACCGATACCTCCGCAAACCTAGCATATGTGTCCTCTACTGCAAACGTGATCCAAGCGATCCTACTAAAGCACAACTGGCACATATATTCGACAGCTTTATTGATTGCCAGTTTCATATTGAATTGTCTACATACTTAGTGTAGACTCTGAGATGACACGCAACAGGCTCAAGCCGACGGATAGAACCCGGTTGATGAGTTCAGTTAGATATTCAGAATGTAGACCGACGGAGCAATCGTCATAGTGGGTTATCCTAAGTTTGTACTTTACAACCAACCAAGCTTCTCAAGTTTGCGGTATGCTTCATGGATGAGACATCTGGGCTCATCAGATGGTTGATGATGGCCCTCTGCTTGACTACAATACACATACGCAAATGCGACAGCTGTCTACTTGGGCTGAAATGGGTGTTTCTTCGGTAGCTAATTGCGAGTTGACAGATCGTATCGTTGACAAAGAGCTCCCACGATGATGTACAGCTGTTGGCTGGCTAACATCTGTGGAAAAGAAAGCTGTGCAATTCCTAAGTGAACAGACGTTCAATTGCAGTGGCACAGCTATAAGAAACCATCTGACTTTGACTGACGAGGTTCGACAAAACTACAAGAACCCGTAGCCGACCTGTCTTGAACTCCTAGCATGACATAAGTAGTCAGCTCATCCTCAATAAAGTTAACATCGCTACTTGAATATCAAATTACAACAGCAAAGCTTGCCACTCGTCCAAAATCCTTGATCATGTACGCCAAAGCTCTCATCGCAGCCGCAAGTGTGGGCCTCATGTCTGGTCTCACCAGTGCCGTGGCTCTTCCAGCGGAGACCATAGCTAGCAGCCCTTCAGGAGGCACAACACAGGCCTCGCAAAGATCTGCAACAATGTTTACGGTCTCCCCTACCATTGGGCTGAGCCACCGCTGCACTGAGATGGCAGTCAAACTCCGTGATGAAGCCCGCAATACCGCAGAGCAGCAGCACTGGATGATCTCAACCTGTGGGGCTGGGCAAACCGTCAGCGTGGGGAAAACTGTACAACGTGATGGGCACAGGAAGTCTGAGTGTGTGGCAGCTCCCAGCTGGACGACGTCTGCCAATGGCGAGTGCCCTAGCTCCGTCCTCAGCCTCTACACTCATACACAGGCATATGGTGCGCAGCATACTGGGGGCGAGCAAGTTATTACGTTGACTTTCACCACGACGCTGACCGCACCCTTCAATGTCCATACAAGTGGCGTTGGAGCTGAAACCACTCAGGGATCAGACGTTGATAGCTCCGTTACTGCTACTTCCACGGTGTCTACCAACACCTCTGCTGGCTCCACCAGTAACTCGGTTGAGTCTGCCAATACATCCGCTGAGTCTACCTCTAGCTCTACTCTATCCACCTCTGCCAGCGCTACATCTACCCGTGCTAGTGCTAGTGCTAGTGATTCGACCACCGCTGTGTAGAGCACATCACTCGGACCACATCGAGATAGCACATCTCTAAGATGCATTCTTGTGCTAACCTCTTGTTCTTCATGCGTGCTTCTCTTCTCCTCTGTTGGTGCACTGGTCTTCGTGTCTCCGGAGAATCAAGGATTCAGGGTGATAATGGGTAGCATAGACACTTCTTTATCACAACCTCTCTCTAATAATACTTTCGCCATCTCAAGGCTTTTCACTACCTCTCACATAGCCCTGGACCTTGTGCCTTTCCAAACGCCAGTGAAGCATGCATCCTTCGAGGATTCGGGATTCACGTCCGTTGGATAGAAGTCAAATCATCACTTATCGACTAATACGCAAGTCGACTGTATCTATCAGAGCTATGATTCCAGTATAATTCTATGCAATACATTCTCCTAAGGTAATCGTATAGCCTAAAAGTCAGTAATCCTTTGAAGGCTCTATTGAGGTCAATCAACACCATACTAGCCAGCTGACATTTACCTTTAACGTAGGCAAAAGATATGTACGAGCCCTAAGGAAAGCCAAAAAATCAAGATGCGTCGGCCGGGAATCGAACCCGGGGCTCATCGAATCTTCCATTCTAATTTGATCTTATTAAGATGTATGGCAACGATGAATTTTACCACTAAACCACCAACGCTTTTAGATGTAATTGTTGAAGGACAGACATTACAGATTGTATATAATGTTGAGTTTTTTGTGAGGGAGAAAACTGCCAGTCCTCAAGTATACTTGACCCAGTGTGTGTAGAAAGTAGGCACTTATGCTAGACGAAGCGAGCGCGGGTGTAGTATTGAGTTGTGTGTGGGTTATCGTAGGAGATGGTGCCAAGAAGTATATGAGCTGGATTTGGCAGCGAGGGCCCGCTTACCCGTTTGGTGCCTGAGGCTTGACAGTTGAGGTACTTGGTTGCTATTGACATTGGGTGTGGGAAGCTGAAGAGTGGTTACCTGAGATAGGTCTTAGGTCGTGGCTATCATTGATCCCCTTCGATAGGCCAGTTCTTCCCGTATGGAGACAGGATGGGTCTTGCTTCTCCCACAAATACATGGTCTCCCCCTGCTATTAATGTGGTTATCCTTCGCTTCCAACGCAGACAATCCTCCCTCAACCAAACAGACCTACTTGACATCCGCACACATCTACCATATGCCAGGTAGCATGCAGAATCTCTTCTTCTGGTACTTCCCTCCCGACTCCTTCCTGTACCTATTCTCCCTCTTCTTGGCCCAGATAGCCATCTGCCCTATACCGATCACGGCGAAGACACCCGTGGCCCAGTTCCACGTGAGAAGCCAAATGCCCACCCAAGCCAGCGCCTCGAAGAAGTAGTTCGGGCATGTGACCCAGCTGAACCCAAAGCCTCTTGGCACACCCCTCTCCGTCCCGCCTGGCGAGCGCAGGTTCATGAGCACGATGTGCGCGTTGAGGTTCGCCAGCTCGCTGAGAGCGTACAGCGCTACTGCTGTGTATGCGATCAGGGAGTTGGAGTCACCAGCAGTCGAGCTCGTTGGCGAATAGAGGAAGTAAGCCATGAAGGCACCCCCAAGGACCCAGTAATGGAAGCTGTTCTTGAAGACGTTGCGGAAGGGCATCGTGGCGCTGCTGAAGCGGTGAATGAAGATAGTCTCCAGCTCACGCTTGATGTAGTGAAGAGTGATTGTTATGCAGGCGAGGGTCTGGAGGTGAGAGGGAGGCCCGCCAGCGTTGCTGTAGAGGTATGGCCGCAGGAGGTAGAAGAGCGGATGGATGAGCATGGGGCCGAGGTACTCGATTATGTAGCAGGTACGCCAGCCGATTTGGGCGCCTAGAGACGTGATGGTATCAATATCGGCTTCTCAATTGAGGATGAAGGACTCTAAAACGCACCCAAATCTTTGACTTGTATTGCGTCCCCATTGCCTAGGCCTATGGAAGATATTGTGGTCTTTTTGTCATTTGGTACGAGAGATCCATCACTTGCTTTCGTGATGCGTAGCCTATGGATCGAGAAGCTCGCCTCTGCAGCTACGCGGTGGTATAAATCGTTCGTACTGCCTTGGATGTATACGCTCGTCTCCTTGGGCAGGTTTGGTATCTTCCTGCCTAAGGTTGGCAGTTGTGTTAGCCAATTCCTGAGGCTTGGCAAAACCGGTCTTCAGATGGGTCGCATATGGACAATACCTCGGGGAGTGATCGATATGGTCACCGGTTTGGACGCCATGCTTGTAGAGGTTGCCTTGTGCTCTGTGTAGCGACAACCGTCTGTCTAGGAGGTGGGAGTCGAGGATACTGTGGACACGCGCAAACCCACAAATGGAAAAAGGGTCTCAGTAGTAGCTGGAATGCCGAAACAAAGGGCTGAAGCTGGAATTAACCACACGCCAAAGCTGAAGTCAGACTGGGCCAATAGATGGTCGAGACGTCAGCAATGATACAGAGCACATGGACCTGGATGAGGAATGCGCTTCAGATCGCGGGCCGATCCAATTGGCTCTGCAGTACTGTACGCTATGATGCGCATACAGCCTGGTACGTATCACGCCCGGCAGTCAGATGCAAGGGGGAGGCTTTGCCCCAACGCGTGGTAATGCAATGCTTATGGCATGCAACGACACGGCACAGAGGGCAGCAGTTCTACACAAAGTCTCCTTCGTTTATTTTCCGCAATTGGTTTGCTTGAGCAGTCTGATCTAGCGTAGCAAAAGGCCTTCTTTGGCGATGGTAGCAACAATAATGATCGACCGCGACACTTTGTCATCTGGTCTCTGTCCCAAGGTTCCGCCGCGGCTTTCGGTTCGGTGGTACCGCGATCCCATCTCAGACAAGACCTGCATGGCCCACTATGAGGTAGGGAAGATCCCACACCCACGCATGCGATACACACACACACACATCCACGCACGCACGCATACAGTCGTCAGCCGCGTGTCTATCGTTCGTTCCAGAGGACTTTCTGTCGACTGATTCGTTGCAGGATGCGAATGTACGGCGACCTGTCTGCTGTTATTGCAAGTTGTATGCGTGTGGCTAGCCTATCGCAGCTGGCGTGACCAATTTCCTCCTTGATTCTACCATGCTTCTTACTTGCCCAACTCTCTGATTACGGACGCACAATTTCCGCTAGAAAGCAATTGCCTCATGCGCAACCCTATTGGTTGGTGGAAACCTCAATTGAATGCACGCTTCGACAGCGACGAACCGGATCCTGCAAGACTATCCTGCACGCCTCTTACGATTTGGGGTCGAAGACTCCAGTGGCCCCATCGCCTTTCTTCCACTTGCCTCGGATATTCAGGGACGTGTATTGAGGATCGCCCGCAATTGCCTGCTAGCATCTAATAACACCTCATAAGAAATTGCCGTCGCTGGCCTTCTCCGATGTGACGAACCTCTACTACAGCTCTCACTAGTGATCTTCCATGTGATATCTTGACATATCGACACTTCTGACCGTGCAGAGCATCACTGGTAAAGCAATCATCTCTTTTACAAACACTATCACAGCCAGATTGGATAGGGTCAATCTTGCAGGTATGTGGTGTCTGTCTCCTTCAAACCCAGGCGATGCCAGCAAGTACATCTTCCGGCAGCGGCGAATGACCTTCCTTGACCTGGCCAAACGCCTTATCCACCATCAGACATGATCAAACCATTTGCAAGCTTGGTCTGACATGTGACGCGGCCGAAATCAACATCTGCCAACCATGAACAATGCGGTCTTACATGCACTCGGTAATTCACCGCGAAGCCAACGTAGCTATTTCTTGTGGCACCTCCGCTTTGAGACAAAGCAAAGTATAGACAAGCTGCATGATCATGGGATGGTGAGAGATTCCACACCTGGTTCTTGCCTTTACTATGGCGATGCTGTGCAGAGGTCTAGCACGCAAATGTCCTTTTCGCCGTACCATAAATGGGGAGTCTCATACTTGGGAATGAACAGTACTTAGCAACTCTCATACAAAGTTCCGACACTGATCCCGTCTCTTTGCTTATTTTTATCCGATACTTTCCTCTTTGGATGATCCGCCCGAACTTCGCTGACAAGAATGCTGTTCAGGACAGTCATGGACGCTTTGCCTCATCCCAGTCATCTCACTCCTCGGTTTTTGAGCAGATCCAACAGCTCGCAGCAACTGAATGGCAGCAAAAAAAGCTCCGAGATTGCAAATGGTCGTCCTCCGCCCGAACCGCAGGAGTCGACCTTGTCTGAGTACGTTGAGAAGTTCCGCAACAGCGTTGAGGAAATGTCGACTCTTCTTCGAGCCATGAAGAAGCCTCTGCCTGAACAGACATGCGATGGGACTTATCTGCCAGCTGATGAAGACGAGGGATCCCTCGGCCAGTTTGAAGACCTCTTCGTTGACGTCTTTCATCTCAATATCAGAGACCTCTACCATCTACTGCAAGTATTCGGCAAGGCAAAGCTCAGTGAGCCTATCGACGACCGTAAATATCTGATGGAAAAATTGATACAGGCTGCTGCAAAGCTTCCAGACAGAGGCATTGGTAAACGAATAACTGACACATTCCTCACTGTGCTCTACGACGATCTCGAACATCCACCAAAGACATTGCTTGGAGAAGGGAACCAATTTAGAATGCCTGATGGGAGTGGGAACAACTGCTACATCCCAGACATTGGCAGAGCCGGTGCTCCATATGCAAGAACTGTTGCATCAAAAACCAAGCTGCCTGGTGCTTTGCCAGATCCAGGTCTCCTGTTTGACAGCTTACTCGCAAGGAAGGAACCGACAAAACACCCCAATCGGATCTCCAGCATGCTCTTCTACTTGGCATCAATCATCATTCACGATATCTTCAAGACTGATCATAAAGATTACCGTATCTCCAACACTTCTTCCTATCTCGATCTTGCGCCTCTCTATGGCAGCACCTGGGTCGAGCAGAAGACAATGCGCACTTTCAAAGATGGGACAATCAAGCCAGATTCCTTCGCAGAGACTCGATTGCTCTCGTTCCCTCCGGGCGTTGGCGCACTGCTGATCTTGTTCAATCGCTTCCATAACTACGTTGTGGGTCAGCTGGCAGTGATCAACCAGGATAACAGATTTAGCGATAGAGATGCAACCGTTGAGAGATATGGTGAGAAATTGAACAGGCGTGACGATGATCTTTTCCAAACTGCACGGCTAGTCACGTGCGGGCTGTACGTCAACATCGTCCTGATCGATTACGTCCGCACTATCCTCAATCTGAACCGGTCAAATTCCAATTGGCAGCTGAACCCAAGAGTGGATATCCCAAATGGCCCACCCCAAGCTACAGGCAACCAAGTGTCTGCAGAGTTCAACCTCGTCTACCGATGGCACGCCGCTATATCTGATCGAGACGATAAGTGGACGCAGGATCTTTTCAAGCAGTACTGGCCCGGAAAGGACTACAGCACAATACCTGAACTAGAGATTGTCAAAGACCTTGGTCATATGGAATACGAACTGAAGAAGATGGATCCAATGGATCGAGCATTTCCTCCGCTTGAAAAGGAGACCTTGCATCGGCAGACTGAAGGGCCATACAAAGGTTCGTTCCGTGATGATGACATCGCTGCGATAATCACAGCCGGCATCGAAGATTGCGCCAATGCGTTTGGCCCACAGCAGATTCCTCTTGTGATGCGGTCGATTGAGATATTGG